CCAGAAAAAAATTATTTGAATAATAAAAATCTGAATGTTAGCTACAGGAACACAGAAGCAACCTGTCTTTTTCCCTAACAGAGTTGATCAGATTTACCTGCCAGATGCGGTTTTATTCTTCGATGGCTCGTGAAGTGAAACATCTCTCTCTTCTTTTAACACATTCCTACTCTCATCTTTTCACGCCACTCTGCTCCAACACTCATCTTTCACTGATCCACTCAGCCTTAATTTACGATCTGCTGTCTGTGCCATTTGGCCTGCGGCCAATTTAATTATGAAAGAAGGTAACTATTAACAGCTAGCAGCCAGAGTCACTCAGCACATCTGTGGTCAGGAGGGAGAAGACGACTCAGAATCACAAATGGTTCACTTAAAACACTTCAAATTACACTTTTTATCTGCAACAAATGATCATTTCAGCTTAATTAACAAAATTACAAGTTTTAGTTTGCAGATATGCATTTGGCTAAATTTTCTCCACTTAGTTCCTGAGCTGCTATTGTCATCTGAAGACATGAACAGTTCCAAACCAAAAACAACCAATCAGAGCCAGGAGGAGGGGCTTAGCGCTGTCAATCAATCTTGTGCATGCCCTTACAAATGTGCTAAAGGAGGAGAAACGGCTTACCATTACAGAAAAACTGTTTATCGGACAGTGGTCATGCTAATTGGCATTTGTATTTATGACAATGGGAGATTGATTGACAGCGCTAAGATCCACCTCCTGGCTCTGATTGGTTGTTTCTAGTTAGCACTGGGAGAAGGCAGAGAGCTCGATTTTTTTTACTATTATGCTGTACTTTCTACTTTTACTTGAGTAACTTTATTAGGAAGTATTTCTACTCTTACTTGAGTAAAATTTCTGGATTTTCTTCCCACTGAATGAAAAACAAACATGTTTTAACCAAATATTCACCACAGACCTGCAGTTTTTGTAAAAGTTTCTTAAGTTTTTTATTCAAAGAAAATAATTTGAAAAACTTTACTTTGCTTGATTTTGTTACTTACATGAATACTTGTCATTTTCATCCTTAAAATACCAAAATTACCACTTAACTTTGTATTTTGGTCCATCTGATGATATATTTATTAAATGATTTATAATTTGATCAGTTACTCTGCGCTTGAGTAAACTTTTAATCAAATCCTTTTCAGTCTTACTTGATTAATTTATTGGACAGCTACTTTTTACTTTTACTTGAGTAAAAATATGTTGAAGTATTTTTACTCTTACTTGAGTAAAATTTTTGGAAACTCTGTTTATACCAGACTGTCACAACACAAGGACAGTTACAACAATTATGTAAAAATACATATTCTTGTAAAGTAACATCCTTCAGCTTTAAAGAGTGTTGTGAATGTAAGCACTCACCTGTTTGGATCGGATCCAGGTAAACGTGGCAAGCTGCACTTTCCGTCCTGGAGGAAAGTAAATGGTCTTTACTGACAAAGCGGCTTTCAGGACTTATCTTGCCTCCTAATGTGTTTCTCATCCACCCAAACGGGGCTCCTTATCGCATATTTGCATTGCTTTTTGTGTTGCCGTGGCTTCATACACACACAGATATCGAGGGCACTTTGAGACCCGGATGTGCTGCTAATCAAGATCTTCACAGTCAGCTAATGCGGCACCCGACCTGAGTGTCTGGTGGACGACAAAATAAAACAAGATAGCTCAAAAAATAAACAGTTTCTTCTAAATAATGTAACCACACACTGGGTTAGGATAACTGTTCAAAAATTGTGTTAAAGTAACCAGAGTTTGTAGTTACTTAGAACTAATAATTAGCTACCCATGACCCTAAAACACAACAGTAGACCTTTCTTATTTAAGTAAAAATGTTCATTAAATCCTAAAATAAAGCAATAAATTGTAAAGAACCAAAACAACCCTTCCATTATCGATCTCTGCTCGGTTGAAGTGAACTTTGCTGCGGTTTGAATGTGGATAACAAGCGGACCGGAGAATGCTCCAAAAGCAGAAAGTGGCCTACAGCGCAGGGCATTCTGGGTAAATGCAACCAAAACAAACGTTCGAGTCTAACACTAGTGGGAGAAATGGCTCGTAGTCTTTTATTAATAAAAAAGGATAAATCCTAAAACAATTAAAATGTGACACCACTCCATTTCTGTTTATATTTCATGAAGAAGGTCACGCTGTGTGACGAATCAAGGACTGGGTAGTAGAAGAAACACTGCCACCTGCAGGTGGGAGTTAGCATCACTGAAACCCGATGTTTTAATATTACTTTTTATTATTTTTTTAAGAAAATTTGCCGTAAACTCAAGATGGATTAGCACATAAATACAACGGCCATTGTAGATATAAAACAAACAAAAAAGGAGTAATAAGTTTCCACCAAGAAATATGGAAATTTCTGTTTGAAAAGTCAAAATTTTCTATGAAAAACAAGGACATTTCTGAGCTCCAGAAGTCAAATTTTGATAGGAAACACTTCACATATTTTGAGTTTAATTTCAATTTTTAGTTTGAATAGTAAACATTTTTTTCTTCAAAAATGTCCAAAGAGCAAAATTTTCAAACTTTTCAAACTCTTAAATTTTCAGATTTTTTGTTTAGGAAAATCTCAGGTTAATATCAAAATTTTAGTTTTTTTTGACAAAAATGTACATTTCCTTTTTTATTTTCCCATCTACAATGTCCCTAAAATGCAGTCGTTCTTAAAAATTCAGGAATTTGTTGATATCATTTAAATTTCCGCCATCGTGGAATCACAAAAAACTGGCGGGTGAAAGTACTACTTACGGCATAGTACTACAATAAACAGTGGAAGTACATCACCAGCGGGTTTTATTGCAGAATGATAATCCCATTAACCTCCCCATTAAAAAACTCTTCAGAGACAAGTGTTACAATCATACAAATATATTAGTTTGTTTTATTCAATTATATCCAATAATACATCTCCGTTGACTTTGTGTAAGTTATTATAGAAATAAATACAGATCATATTGCAAATGCAGAGAGTTTGGGATAGTGAGAAGAAGATTAGGTGGTTAAAGGGGGTCAAAGAGTAAATACTGGGTAACTCCTGTCCAGTAAATGATCAGCGCATGCATGCTCACAGTCCCTCCACTTGGATGCAGTCTGAGCTCCAGGGCTCTCTCTATGATCCCCTTTTAGCTCCTTTGTCCCCAGTGATCCGTAGGTCTGGATGGCAGAGAGTAGCGCCGTTTTTCCACCTGACTGGAAACAGGAAGAGTCGCCCCGTTTCCCCCGGCACGCTTGCATGGATACACATATATAGAAGGAATATATTTAGATATATGTACTTTTTTGCCCCAGTAGAATATAAAAATAGTCTCATTGTGGCTTTGATAACTGGAAGCACTCTTTTTGCATTTGGAAGACGGGAATTGAAACAAAACGTTTGCGATGATTTCTTTACTGTTTCTCTGGAAGACTCACACAACAGTTAAAAGATAATAATAACATGAAGAAGGTGTTTGTGGATAGATGACGGTTGGTCAGTATGAAACGTTTCCTCTACAAGTCAAGGTTTCGTACTCGCATGTGCCTCAATGTGGAGGCAAAACACATGGTGAAAAGAAAGTACACCCTCTTTTAATGTGAGAGAATCAGGAAAACTATTTGATCTTTACCTGGTTTTAAAAATTAATGCAATCTTAACTTCAAGGCTACATTAAAACAGGATCCACACTGGCTATATTTAATAAACAAAGAAGAAGTCCACAGGGAACTTTGAATGTCCATATCGGCAATGTGGTACCAAACCAAACACTTTGGAACCAACAAGGGTGTCCATATTGGTTCCAAATCCTTTAGATCCAACCCAAACCATATTATATTAGGTTTGGTTATGGTTTGGTTTGGGTTCGAACCAACCCAATGCGACCCACTTTGGTTCCAAACCCTTGACATGGGTTGGGTTGGTTCCAGGCAGACCAACCCTTTCAAACCACATTAGTTGGTTTGATTTGGTTTTAAAGGGACCAACCCTTTGAAATCATACTGGTTTCCAACCAATATGGGTCAGATCCTGACCATGTCGCGCGAGTCGTGTGTTCAATAACCGGATGCTTCTACTGGCGAAAACAATCATGACGGGAAGTAGTTAAAGGATAATAGAGCTGCATGTATTTTTAATGACGGGTGGCGTGAACAAACGTGATTTTATTTGCGTTTATTTAATGGAAACACCAAAATTGTGTTTTTCGTCGTTAGTGGAATATTGATATTTGTAATGGAAACGCAGCTTGAGAGATTTCCTGTTTTAAAGTTACAATTTGGCCCAAAGTTGGTCATAAACAGGAAACAGGACTATTTTCCCAGAATCAAGAAACTTGCAACATGATGACCGAAAAAGAAAATAATCAAGGTGCCTCAATGGTCCAGTCAAACTCCAGACCTTAAGATATTGTAATGGGACCTTCAATACACTGAAGCAGTGGGCCAAGACACAGAAAACGCCTTCTAACGGTTCTTTAGTCCATTTCTGCTGGGTTCTGGTTCGATAAATACAGTCAGACAGGATCCTGTTGTTTCGTCTTGTGCACTTGAGGTTAAATTCACAATTTTAAACGTCAGTAAAACCAGATCAGCTTGACTTCAGACATCAAATGAACCAAAAAACAAAAATCACACACATATAGACCAAACATGGAATTACAATGTCGACACAATTCACAGTAATTCCACCAATAAATACCAACATCACAATCCATATTGCCTTAAAATACAGTCAAAACAGCCAGGGACAGGTCAGGAGGGAGCTCAAAGTTTCAAATAAAAGTGCGTTAGCTGCTAAGAGGTGGAGTCCCTCCCCGGCCGTCGTCCTGGTGGATGAGAGCGATGCAGATGTGCCTTAAAAACGTATTCACGTGAAGTTAATCTGTTGCTACACAGGATGTGACAGTAGGCACTCTGGATTCCAGTATAAAAGCACTTTAATGAAGCAGCTAAACCAAAAGTCTGTCTGAGTCAGAGCCTCTCTCTTCCTCCCTCTCTCCTTTTCTTTTTTTTGTGTTTTCTGCTGCATTGCAGATGTGGCGGAGGGACTCCACCTCAAACTAATGCACGCACACTTAAACAGCTGCCACACCGAAAGGGACAAAGCGTCGGGGAAAAATAAAAGCTGCAATAAATACACACACTTTTTTCCTCCAGATGATGTGGCTGCACCTTGTTAATGAACTTTATTGCTTTCCGCCCAAGGACCCGCGCGTATCGATTTCAATTTCTCACATGTATACAAAAAATTTCACACCAGGCGTCTCGCACATTCGCTCTGCCTCCAGGTTAAAGGGAAGGTGGGCTTTATTGGAAGCTAGCGCTTCTCCGAGTCCTTCGAAAAAAGAGAAGCCGTGCGTGACCCTCCCTCTCTGCAGCTGTAATTCGCCCCGTAAGCAGAGGGAGGCCCTGACTCGAGAGAAACGGGAGTGAAGGGAGTCCCCGGGGAGAGAGGTGTGTGTGAAGAGAGCGGCTGAATCAGATATACATCATTTAACTCGCTTTCAGTAGCCGCTCACACCGACTCCTTTCATCCGGATAAACGGTAACGCCAAACTCTTACGAGGGGAAGACGTTTAACGTTTCGGGTTCTGGAACCCGGAGACGCTAAAGGCGGAGAATTCGGTTCACCAATCAAACCTCTGATAGATGGGAAACTTTACACGGTGAGACTCGATTGAAGGTTTGGGGAGGCAGATCCCACGCTCATGCAATCATGCACTCCACTCGCAAACAATGATCCAGTAATGTGTCATGATGTGATAATCAAAATGAATCAATAACCCTCCAATCAGGGAGTCACATACTTAAAAATCTGTATTTACTGCTGACTCGCATCAAATTCATTCAAACGACCAGCAGATAACAGGAAGGCCAAAGGCATTACAGCTAGGGGGCGCCGTTTCATCTATACTTTTGAAGAGTCAGTTGATGGAAACAATAAAATCTGAAAAACAAAAAGTCTTCTGTAATTTCGCAGAGGTTTTTACTTTCACTTCAGATGGTTTTTGGCTTTTCCTAAAAGATGGAAACATAACTGCAGAATAATTTCTGATGTAGCGAACCTTCCCACCCACTGGTGGGCCTCTCTGCCTTACCGAGGAACAAAACTCAGAAAAATGTCCAAACCTCCGGCTCAGGGAGAAGGACTCTACGTCCTTCTGAGGTCCATGCTAGTTTTTATCCTCTACTTGCTGTCTGCTACAGCCATGCGTAGCGTCACGCTTTCTGTAGCCCAGCTGATCTGCTTCAAACCAGAACATGGGAACACAGCTAATTCACATTTTCTTCTTTGTTTGCATAATTTTAAAAGTTTAATGAAAAGTTACTTGTGCCAGATTTGGAAATGTTGGTAGCCTTTGGAGATTTTAGAGTCACGGTAAGAATCTACTTTATGCTAAATGCTAACATACGATGCTAACAGCAGTTTAAAATGTCAACTCTACAATCACTTTGTCTTAAAATAAAATACGCTGAATGTTGTTATATTTTTCTGTATATAAATCAGAACAGTGCAGAGTTAACATGGAGAGGTCAGTGATTATCTGGCCTTTTAACATGATTCTTAGTTGTTGTTGTTAACAGCTGAGAGTTAAGATTAGACTCAAAATATAACAGCTAACAGGTAATAAAGTCCAGCTCAAAGCTAACAGAGCGAGGCGAATGGCTACGCAGAATGAGGCTAACGGCTAACCAGAATCAAGCTAATGGCTACTTAAACTAACATCAAGCTCACAGCTACTCAGAGTAAACAGTGATTCAATGTGAAACTGTTTGTAAAGTTAAGCTTTAACTGTAAGAGTCAAGCTGTTACTGGAGCTAACAGCTAAACTTAATAAGAGTCGAGCTGAACGAAGTGATCAGAATCATGCTAACAGCTATGAGGTAAGCTAAAGGTGAATCATTCTTAAAACTAATCTGGAAGTTCAGGGAACAAAAAACATCTGTTTTTAATTTCTATTAGTAATATAAATCAATCTTTGCTGTGCTAACATGTCACATGGGTTTTATTAATGTCTTTACAGATAAAAATATATGCTTACCTGAAATCTGTCGATACAATAAAATATCTCTGATAAATCCTGTAAATTTAATTTTATATGCGACTTTTGTTTAAAAGAAAATAAATCTCTTAAACAAAAGTTTTAGCCTTCAGCAGTTTTTCTCAAACTTGAATCAAACTTTGATTTCCAAACTTCCCAATGAAGTTACGGTCATTTTTACTAAACTCTTTCCAAACATCTACCTAACATTATCCAGTCCCAGTTTAGACTAACCTTGGGAGCCCCAGTTAATTAAACGTTTAAGTAATTACTTAGCAAAACATTGAACATAGAGAGCCATAGAGGCCGTGTGTTAAACACAACCCAACCAAAGCTGGTGGTTAATTAAAAGAGGTTTTAAATGTAGCCGGAGTGAAAAAAAAGATCAACAGATGCTGAATTATGAAACTCTTTTCTCTCTTCTTTGCTTCCTCATTTTGTCTCATTGTATATTTCAGTGTTTTATTTTTTTTCATCACCTAAATGCTTTCGATTTCCTCTGGAAAGCTTTATCTCCCAGGTAGCAGATTACTTTGCTCAGCGCTTCGCCAGATTTGGTTATCACTTATTATTATTTACAACTACAGGTTCAAGGGAGCAAAAGATTATGCATGGAAGGAGAAACGTGCAAAAAGGAGCGAACGTCCAGTGCAGTAATTCCCTCTTCAATCTCTTTTTGTTCTGCTTATCATCACTAATTACCCTCTCTAAAATGTCCTTTTGCCTCCTTCATCCGATCCATTTTTCTTCTCCCAGATCTTCTACGTTGCTTCACTTCCACTCATTTCCTATGATACATTACTGTTATGCTATAAACAATTACTCTTTTGATCAAATTGTACCAAGAAAGTTTAATGTGGAAAAAATGATTTAATTAATGTCTCCAGTTCACATCGTCCCATTTGATGATATTTATCTATTTTGTTGTAAAATCCTAGACAAACAGTATAGATTTAAGTTTTAAACTCTGTTAATAATGTTTAAATGTCGGTAAACCTGGAGGTCATGCAGAGTAAAAGTTGGTGGGAAAGTTTCGACACATATGGAAGTCCGCATTGGTGAAATATCACCTTGAACATTATTACCACACTGTAAAACTAGACGGCTAAAAAAATTACTTCTTTATCAATGTTGATGACAATAAAAACATAATAAGACCATAAAGTCACTGCCGTCCCCTGCGGCTCACGCACATGATCCAGCCCTTAAATTTATCTACATGAACCCCAGTTATGAAAATAATTGAGTTACCTTGAATGTGGAGGCAGAAAGGAACTTTGGTTCTTAACTTTGGATAAATAATAAAATATTAGAGAGAACTTGCTCAATTAGAGAGACAATGGGTTTCAGAGTTGGGAAATATTTCTTCCAACAGGTTCTGCTCTGGACAATTATTAGAATGATTGTAATTAGTCGCTGGCGCCACTTTAAGTGGCTACTAGACAATTTCTAGACTTGGAGCAGCTGTTAGCTTCACTCTACATAGATGTTAGCTGTTAGCTCAATTGTGTAGCTGTTACCTTGACTTTCAGCTGCTAGTTTGAGTCTGAGAGTAAATGTTAGCTTGAATCTAATGCCTTGTTTCCCCTGGAGGTTGTTTACAAACCGAACTGCACCGTCCCGTGACGTAAATGTAGCATTAACTTTGAGTAAATGCTAATTTGACTTTAGATAGCTGTTTGCTCGACTATGAGTAGCTCTTAGTTTGACTCTCAGCCGTTATCTTGACTCTGAGTAGCTATTGACTCAACTATGAGCAGCTGTTAGCTCAGCTTTAGAAAATAGTCGGTTTGGCTATGGGTAGCTGTTCACTTGACTAGGAGCTGTTAGCTTGACCCTGAATAAATTGTTGCTAAACTTGGAGTGACTGCTAACTCCGAATAGCTATTAACTTGGCCCTGGAAAATTGTTGGTTTGACTCTGAATAGCTGTGATCTTGACGATGAGCTATTAGCTTTACTCTGAGTGATTGCTAGCTCAACTCTGAAAAATCGTTAGCTTGGATCTGAGAAATTTGGTTCTGGATAGCTGTTAGCTCCACTCTGACCTATTAGCTTGACTCTGAATAGCTATTAATTCACTGAGCTGTTACCTCAGCTTTGAGTAGCCATTAGCTTTCTTCTCTTTGCAGCTGGGCTAACTCCAAACAGTGGTTAGCTGAACTGAACAGTTGCTAGCTCAACTGCCTGGCTATTAGCTTGACTTAGGGTGGCCATTAGCTTATATTTAAATAATTATTAGCTTGAGTTTTGGGATCTGTCAGCTTAATTGAGTTTCTTTGATTCCCCATTGATAATTTTCCTCTTGATTTTTGTCTGTTGTCTACTGCATAGCTGCATGAATTGCCATTTTTCTGTTCACCAACATAATCAAACATCAGCATCCCGTTGTCATGGACGCTAACCAATCGATGTGGGGCTTAAATATCCATAAAACTAATGTGGACAAGTTGAACCGACTCTAACATGCTCAGTGACGAGCGCATGGTCAACAAAATGCCTGACCTTTTGACAGTGTGGTCGATAATCTGCCTGTGCAGCTCAACACGCGTTTGTAGCACAGTTCAGACTGGTAGAAAAAAAAATAAAAAATCTGTATATTTAGTTTGGCAGCAATGACATGCAGATGCTATGTTGCCCTGGAGGGTTTGTGCAAAAGAAAACCCATTGCAATGCAATCACAACAGCTCCATTACGACTCATTATGTCTTCCATCACACCTGCTGCCACTGAGCGAATGCATGTCATCGTAATGGTCATGAGATCATTTTCATATGTAAGTACAACAGAATACATATGAGTGTGTGTGTGTGTGTGGTTGCGGAGTGTGTCGAGGGAGTGATTGGCTGCTTGTTTAAGGGTCGAAAGATTCTGATCAGCCTCTGACTCCATTAGCAGAGCCAGAGGGACGGGAGGGAGTTTTATTGTGCCGCAGAGTGGAAAATTGAGTCCATGTCACAAACTAATCAAATTGTGCCAAAGGTGAGTGAAAAAGAACGGAAAACACTGTGATATGTACACACAGACACACACACACATTCACACACCACACGCCTGACGAGAATTCAGGCCATCTTTGAAAGTTGCTGACGCAAACAGAAGATGTGGACGCAGCAGATGGCCGAGGAACTGAAACAGTGTGACAGCCTCACATTAACATGGCTTTGTGTCAAGCTAACATTAGCAGAAAACCCTGCAGGGAGATAAAAACCCATTTGTGAAGAATGTGCTGCAGGGGGACATATTTTCTCGTTGCACCCGTGGCGGTGGAACCAGGAAGACCTTGCTGGGATATTTGGTTGACCGGAGGGTTGCTCGCTGGCGTGACGGCTGGAGGGCGTCCTTCCAGCTGGTGAGACAGGCTGTGGTGACATGCTTTAAAACACTAGGCCACTGTTCAGCTCTACACTGAGTTATTGCTTATACACCCCAGGTTCAGCTGACCATAGAGGGCAAGAAGGTGGAGGGCTGGTGTGGTGGAAGACAAAAGGGGACTTCCCCTTTCCCAGCATCCCCCTGCATGGACCTTTGGACACCCGGACGTTTCAGGTCCACATCCCGAGTTCAGGTTTGCTGTCCGCTGGTGAGCGCCGCCCCGCGTCGTCCACCCTGTCCTTCGTCTCTCAGTGCTAGGAGGAGGTTTTGGTTTTGGACTGAGCTTCTTTCTTGCCGTTGTTAAGCACGGGCGAGTCACTGGAGGTCTTCGGCGTTTTTCTGGGCGGACTCTGTTCGGCGACGTCGTGTAAGGAGGGCTCCCTGTACATCGCCACTGAGAAGGGAAGACATAAAGACCATAAGTTCATAAAAACTGGAAACAAAACCTTGTCAGACCTCTTTATTCGTTGGTTAAACTGGACAGTTTGGTTCCATTTGGGTCAAACGGTGCCTAAGCAGTTGAATTCTCCCGTTTGTTTAAAATCTTTATGTCACCAGTTGATTTTTTAAAATAAAAAAGTTGCTAGAGGGGCCTGAAAAGTTGCTAAACACAGCGACAAAGTTAATAAGTTAGCGAACGTATAGTCCCTCATCCCGACTGCAGCTCCTCTCATCACCACATTTGGCCACGCCCCTCCGCTTCTCTTGGCCCCGCCCACTTTGGTGAACATTTTCAGGTAGGCGTTTCCAAAGCGAGGTGTTTCTCAACAGGTACACCTGATTGGACAACCAAAACTCAAGGCGCTCCTCAAGTTCTCACACCTGATTGGACGAAATTAAAGTCTGTTATTTGACTTTTTTCTCATTGTAATTATCAGTAGCTTACTTTTCTGCATGAATTACTTTAGCTTCAGGACTTTGCTGCTGTAACCCTTTGGGGTTAGCTACACTTTGGATACGCTGATATAATAACAGCAGGCTGAATGTTAGCTGGCAGAGAACGTCCGGCTTCTTTCACTCTGTTTTAATAACTAACAGTTGTGATTTTTCATAGATGTTTATAAATATTGAGATCTAAATGTTCATTCCTTGCCATTAGAAATAATATCCGTTTTCATTGCTAAAATAATGTAAAACTGACATAAGCAGCTAAAAACAAATAAAAAAGATGTAAAAAAAACCCAAACAAATAACCTAAATAACTGTTTGTCCTTTGTACCTTCGATGAGTTTGGGCAGGAAATGAGCAGCACCCTTGGTCTTCTTGACTCGGTTTCCCTTCATGACCTGGCCGTCCCGGTTGATGCCGATGTACCAGGCTCGCCCCGACTGGGTCTGCCGGTACAGGATGGACGAGTACGTGACGTAGTAGTTCTCGAAGACGCACTCCTTAAACTTACACTCCGGCGTGAAGTGTTCCTGTAAGACACACAAACCAGAACGCATAGGCAGAGGTCAGTAGCAACTAGTTACACTGACCTGAGTAACCTTTTGGAAAAATGTAGCTTTACTGCGTAATACTTTTTATTTTTACTATGAACTATCACTGTTCTTACTAGAGTAAAGTTTCTGGATACTTTACCAACTTCACTAAATGAAGAACAAACATATATCATCAAAGATGCACTAAATACAGAAACACATAAACATCCCAAAATAGTATTACCATTCATCTGATATATAAAGTAGCAACTTTTATTAAAAAAAAATAATAATAAAGTCTGGGCCACCCCCAAAAATTGCGGCCCTGGGCTACCACCCTTTCTAATGTTTGTTCCGGCATAAAGAGAGCTCGTCTGCAGTTCAGACGAGCTCTCTCTCTCTCTCTCTCTCTTTCTCTCTCTCTCTCTCTCTCCCCGTCTCGTTACGTATTCCATCTTTCATCCCGCCTCTCCCCCTCCTCCAGCGCGTTCCCTCCGTTTCCCCGTCATTTGGTAACCTTGTCGGGGAACAAACCAATTTGCAGGATTGATTTGGAGCCTTGATGTGACGGAAAAAACGCCTGAACAAGGAGTTTTCTTTCTCTCCCTCCCTCGCTCTGATTTCTATCTCTTTTCTGCGTCCCTCTGTCCGTCCGCCCGGCCTCAACACTTACAGCACAGAAACAGTTACATCGCTCTTTAATTGCACATCCATTAGTTTCTCTGCCACTCGTTACTTTAACTCCATTACAGCAAATGAAAGTGTAATCAGATTACTATTACTGTGTGTGGTGCAGAGCGCAATGCCTGATCCATATCTTCCACACGATCTGAAGCACTACCTGGATCATTAGGTGATTAATCCGGTTAATTAAACTGAATATCTGTGGTGCGTTTGCGCTGTGGGAAACCAGAGCATTCATCAGATCCTGACCAAACTGCACTCAAAAAGTTCAAGTTGTTGAATGAACGGAAGAGGAAAGAAGGAAAAGAAGTGGGAACATCTGTTTAAAGGACAATTTATCTATGAACTCGATAAATCGCCGTGTTGTTGGTAGAAAAAAGGAGCAAATTTCTGCCAAAAATCTCTGAAATTTTGAGGTTAATCTGAGAATAAAAAAAAAAACAAAAATAAAAATTCTTAGCTACAAAAGTTGACAATTTTTAAATTTAAAGCAGAAATTTCTGAGATCTTTATCACATTAATCTCAAATTTTAAGATTTTATTTATAGCATTTTTTTTACATTTCAAGCTAAGAAACTTTCTTCTTTTTTCTTCAAAATTTTTAAAATTAATCAAAAAATATCAGATCTTTTTTTCTTGCAATAATCTGACTTTTGGAGATCAGAAAAAAAAATACTATTTTCTTTTACTTAAGCAAATAATAAAAAAAAATGTTCCTGTGTTGGATGAGAAGAAAAAAATACTTTATAATTAATTTTAACTTGCCCTTGAGGTAAAAGCCAAATAAAATAATTATATAGATGAAATTGAAATAAAAAAAAATCTTTTCAGCTCTGTTGGTTGAAAGAAAAATATATTTTAAATTTAATAGGAGAACACATGGGTCAAATTTTGTAGATAATATTTGTTTTTATTCAGGAACAAAATGTTCCTCAAGGGAAAAACCCTTTAAAATATTTTAATCTTAAAGATTTTTATTACTATCCCCTTGAAAGTCGGGAGAAAAAGAAAACTTGGCCAGACCTAAAAAATGGATCCTTAAAATTGTATTTTATTTTTAAAAATCTGTACTTCTTAAAGCAGACCTACTTAAAATAAATATTCATATTTATAAATTATTATTAAGAACAAGCTCTTTCAAATAATAATAATCTAAACCTGATAAAAAATCAGCAGCATAAGTCAAACGGCGACAAACACAGAAATAAACTAAAATAATTGTTTTTATATATGAACCGATCAAAGTTTCCTGCCTCATCGTGTAAAACTAGTTTGAAAATTTTCTTTCATTGCAGCAGTTTTGAAAGTCAGACTCATGGAGTGAGCAGCTTAATGGGATAACACACGATTTGGCCTCGTCGTTTACACACGTTACTCTCACTGCAGGCTCACAGGAGGCAGATGCACATCTGTCTGCACAGGCGACTCTGGAAGACAACAGGAAGTGCTTTGACAGGTCACTTCCTGTTTGTCTCCCAGGACAGGCGGTCCACTGTCCTCTCACATTTACATCCTGAACTCCAAACCAGTTTGATCCTCCATCTTCTGTCTGTCCTCCTTTCTCCTCCTGCTAAACAACCCAGACGTTATCAATGGTGCAGTTCCTCCTGTGGCCAGCAGGAGGCGCTCAAAACAAGAAGTAACTATTTTTTTGCCTCTGAAGATCTGTGTCTGTATCTAAAACAACTCAAGATATAATCTAAACTACATTTGTTTTTAAAGTCCATTTGAACATTTTTAAACATTTTAAACTCAATGTTTCGTTAAACTTAAGTTAAAATGTCTCATCTGACGAAGTGCCACAGACCAGGGCCGGCCCAAGCCTTTTGGGGGCCCAAAGCAGATTTTCACTTGTGTCCTCCATCAACAAATCAACACCAGATGCTTCATTGTGCCTAAATACTCTGTGTGTGTAACATACCTACTATGAAATCCAATATATGTTAGCACGATACACGGCTGTTAGCTTGATTTAGGCTAGCTATTAGCTAGCCTAAATCTATCTCTGTATCAGTATCTATCTGTATCTCGATGTATCTATCTCTGTCTATTAGCTAGACAGAGATAGATAGATACATCGACAGGCAGAAAAGTATTAAGGGCAACTATACAAAATGATCGTCTGTCTTTCTTTGAGCTCTTGTTTAAACTAAACTACATTTTGTGTTGCCTTTTTCAAATAATTAGCTTTAAATACAAATCCCAGCTGCAATATCTCCTCTGGAAATTTGACCAAAATTACTTGGTAAGATTTTGTACAGATACATCGACAGGAAGAAAAATATTAAGAGCTGCTGTAGAAACTGATATTTGTTTTTGTTCCAACTGAAATTACATCCTTTAGGATTGCCTTATTTAAATAATTAGCTTTACATAAGAATGTCAGCTTTAATTATACAAAAACACAGACAGAGAGAAAGAGAACTGAGGTAAATGGAAAATGTTAAATAATAGTTTAATCAAACACTGGTTAATTAAATTAGGGGGCAAAATGAGAGACAGTTTAAGCAGCCAGATTTTTTCGTGTGTGTGTGTGTGTGTGTGTGTGTACGTCCGCTCATGCATGTCTGCTGTTGTGACAGAAAGACATGACAGATCCCCCGTACATCAGTGGGAGGCCACCCAGTGCCAGATGACACACACTCACACACCGACACGCGCAGCATCCGCGCTGACGGATGGACCCTCTCCGTCCCTCATCACTCACTCCCACAGACAGGCCGCGCAGAAACAGGAGGAGGAGGGGGAGAAAGGGACCACGAAACGGCGGGAAAACGACATGAGAGACGAGCGGGGAGAACCAGACGCGGAGCGGATTAGTCTCCGGTGGCGACACAGACGGACTCCTCGTCTTATTTTCGCCGGCTGACATCGTTCAGCGGCGCCGCTGAACGAGCAGCCGCCCGTTCACTCAGAGTGGGGATTGATTCCACGGGAGATCTCTGCCAACAGTCAATAAGCATCAGAATAAAAACAAAAACTGGATCAGGCGTTTATGGTGACAGAGTGTGAACAAACGGGCTGGTCCATAAACTTCACAGAACCAAATATCATCGTCTGGAAACGCTGAGTTACATTCAGCAGCATGTTATGTGAATATTTATGTATTTACTGAAGTGGGTGGAGTCACCAGATGCTGTCCTCAAGTCAGAGTGGAAATACTTCAACGTATTTTTACCAAAGTAAAAGTAAAAAGTAGCCATCCAAGAAATTACTCAAGTAAAATTAAAAAGTATTTGGTAAAAAATACTGAGTATCAATCATTTAATATTAAGGATCAAAATGACAATAACTGATATAAGTAACAAGACATAAAATCAGGCGTGATAAAATGTTTCCACATCAGTTTCTTTTAGTAAAAAACTGATGAAAGTTTGACACAAACTGCAGGTGTGTGTCTGTGTGGTGAATTTTTGGTTAAATCATGTTTGTTTTCCATTCAGTGGGCAGAAAATCCAGAAATTTTACTCAAGTAAGAGTAGAAATACTTCATAATACAATTATCAAGAGTAAAAGTAAAAATACTCCTAAAAGTACAAAAAAGTTACACAAGTAAATGTAAGTAGTTACTTCAAAACTCAGCCAATAATCCAGAAATTTTACTCGACCAAATATTGCTGCTCAGCTCGTTTTGCTTGGTGCTCAGAAAGTTGGACAGAAGATGAGAAAAACATTTTTGGAAATATTTACAGGTTCATGTGACTGAGAACTTTGATATATTTTTATTGAAGCAACATATTTGTAAGATATTAGTTTTTATAAACATTTATTTTCAAATCCGTCTTTCTCATAAAACCCACTTTGTTCAGTGAGGTTAAGCGTTTTCCCGAGCTGCTCTTTGATTGAGATTAATCGTGTCATCGAAGATCCAAGGGATAAATCTGGCTGCAGACGCTTGAGGATGTGATGTCACAGACATCACATCCTGAGCCTGAGGTCATGACCTGCTGTCTGCTCTCCTCACAATCCAACCGAGCCAAAACATTTCCTGTGGCGCCAAAACTCCAGCACAGGCGTTGACGTCAAACTGCCTGCACGTTTTAAATAACACAGTTTTTAACTCTTTATGGACACTTTCTAAAACTTTCAGGTTAGTTTTGGACTTCCAGGTTGTTTTCCTGGACTTCCAGGTTGTTTTCCTGGACTTCCAGGTTGTTTTCCAGAACTTCCAGGTTGTTTTCCTGGACTTCCAGGTTGTTTTCCAGAACTTCCAGGTTGTTTTCCTGGACTTCCAGGTAGTTGGCTAATTGTGGCTAATTTAGATGGGCTTTTCTAAACGATATATGTAAGCAGCTCTGGTTTTGACATGGCCA